AATTTTCAGATACTTCAGCAAAATTATCCTTTCCCTGTACAATCCGTTTTGTTCTCGTTTCTTTCACACATACTTTCAATTGAATTCCTCTCTAAGGACGAGATTGCTTACATTCTCTTTCATCACGGTACAATGATAATCGACACTTGTCGTATTATCGGCAGTCTGCTGATGATCTCCCTCGCGAAACTGCCGAAGTCCGATCGCGAGATAGAAAATTCGAAAAAATTCGCGATGAGCGATAAATTAGCGAGGTAGATGTGAGAAACGAGTTTCTCTCCATTATTGCCATTTATTTTTCTCGGCGCAACTGCGCACGTTCCGGCGGCTCGTGTTTATAGAACGACCCGGTTTCGTCATCGTGACAGGTAGATGCCCGCATAGCTTGCGAACGAATGCGGCTGAGAGAAACATCACGAACGGGATCTCGGAGGATCTTCGCGAAGGATATCCACGCGAGATAACGCGTTATCTCATCGTGACCGACGGCGGCGATTAGGAATCCCTAGGTTGCTTTGCGCGAAATGTTTCGAAATATGACAATAGAGAAATTGGATAGAAAATGCGAGGTACGAAATGATTCCCTGCGATTTACGTGCGTTGAGATGACTCTCGCCGTTGAAATTGTTCAAAATTTGATAAAGCGGCCTTACATCGGAGATCGCGAGAAACTTCTCGAAAGGATACACTTGATACACTCGCACTCGTCGCAAGTCGAAATCTTAATCTTGATGTCGACATTTTTCACATTACGGTTTTAAAATTCTAGCACAATTCGGCACAACTCTCAAAATAAATTATTTCTAAAAGTGGGGGGGGGGAGGGAGAGGCTAACTTCTAATAGGTCGTGAAAAATCGAAATCGCGCACGTGGACACGAATATCTATGTAGATAATCGGCAAATTGTTACAAGGGAATTGTTACAACAAAATGGTGGAATAGGATAATATAGTATGTCAGTAGATAAAGACGCGAGTAGGCCAAGGCTGCGGTCGCAACTGCGAAACTTGCGTCATTATTTGATACAAAAATTACGTATGTATGGCTTTTAGCACATTAGAATTTTATTCACATAGAATTATTTTAGCACATCTTTAAAATTCCGGTATAATTGATACGTGTAGTTTCTGGCTTTTTTCCAAATTTTTTCCGAGTTAGAAAGTTACTAACACGTTTCAAAAATAGTTCTGAAATATAAACAATAAAAAGTTAAAGATATAAGATGACTATCTAATGCTTTTAATATATGAAAATTAATTGACATTTTTTTATTCCGATTAGAATTCAATTTGTGAATTTTTTTTCTTTCTTCTCTCTCTCTCTCTCTCTCTCTCTCTTTTTTTAAGCAAAACTTTTGAGAAAATGCTAGATTATTGACAAAATTTTTATTTATGAAATTTTGGGAATCTAAATTGAAGAATCATCGAATTAATAAATATTGTTTTATTGTTTTGGATATTAAGAATAATCGTTAGAATTTTAGAGATCTAAGCATTCTACTTAGAAAGCTATCAAGTATCTTGAAGATTTATGAAATTTTTTATTTTATCCTCGAGTATTAATAATAGCCATTAAAAATTTTAAAAACATGTTTGGACTAAAACTAGAAATGTAGCTATTATAAAAAAAAATTCTAAACATACAATACAACCACAGTGATTTTTGCATTAATGTTTCAGAAAAAAATATTTTACCCTTTACAAGGAGAATCTATAAATACTATTATTTTAATAGCAATTTTTTTTTAGAATAGCTAAGGTTTTTTTTTTTAGTAAATAAATAGATATTCTCAAATCTTTTAATAAATATCCTCAAATAAAAAGAAAATATATAAATTTATAATAAACAGTAATACATTAAACATTAATATAGAAAAAGTATTATAGTAACGAGTAACAAAAAAAAATAAAGTTATTTTGTTAAACAATCTCTTTTACTTTATCATTGTAAGAGTTTATCATTAGGACAGTAGCAGGTGCCATACAGATTCATTCACGTTATCCGGAGATGTCGCACAGAACAGCTGCAATGGCGGCGCTCGACATTATGTGCTTTGCGCATTTACCGCATACCGAGCGATTGCGGGTTAATTAATTGCCGCAATAAACGGTCAACGTGGCCCGCTAATTCGAGAGCATGCCCTCGCACTCGGTGTTATCGTTCCACCGATTAGGCTTATTCTGGATGTCTTGTAGTCCAGATAGAGATTCATTTCACTTATTGCTTGTAAAATGTATAAAATATAAAACTGTTTTTTTTTTATTTTTTTATTTTTATTTATCGTCAAGCTACACTTACTGCATCTTCGTTTATGAGCTTTAATGGCATCCGAAACGAATATTTACAAAATGATGATTTTACATAAATATTATAAATAATATTGAAAAATTACAATCAGATAAATAAATTTATCTGTCTGCAAATTTTGTGATATCTATGAAATGTATGATGCAAAATTTACGATTTTTTATATGAATTAATTAGTTATGCAGTGACAATGAGCATTCATTTTATGAGAGATTTAATTTTTTATTTAATTTATTTATTTTAACGCAAAAATCCTAATTCGATAAGACTTGAACGTCTTTAAAGTTTGAAAGCACACAATTACTCAAACGTGTTAACAATTTAACCAACTGTTATCAATTTAAAAATCTCGAAATAGTCTACAAAGATAATTTGCATTTTCTTATCTTGTGATAATACGAAGAAATGCGAGATTTGAAACAGTCTTAGCGAAATTCGTAAGTCATGAGTGTAGTTGATTTTCTTCTACCGAGTATCCACATAAAATAGTACACAATAAATTTTTTATTGCTTTTATATGATAAAATTATCAAATTTAATTTCTAAAAAAATTAAAATTTGTTTTTGTCTTTTGGTCTTTTTTCTTTATTTATCGTTTCTTTATTTATCTTTTTATAATATAAGATAATTATAGTTGACTTTAATTCACGAAGGTCAGGGTAAAATAGACTTTATTAGAGAAATGAGAGGCAAAGAACCTTCGGATTCTATTTATGCAATACTTCGCTATCAATTAGATATGTCGCTCTTTCTTCCAATCTTGTCTTATTGGCGTTGCTACTGATCGTTGGAACGATTGCTAATTCTCGATGAATTCGATGGAGACAGTATCGATTCCGCTGGCATACATATATATTCATGTGAGTTTTCGTTGCTGTTGCATCGTCACGATGCCGGATATGGGACAGACGAGCGAGTATTAAGACGCTATTCATCTCTCCAAGGTGTCTCTTTGCGACATGATGGCTGTAATACTTGCGCGTTCGAGCTAGCCGAAGAATCATCCGATTAGGTCATAAACATTGTGTCGTAAATATTGTGTTGAACGGAAAGGAGACGAAAATAATTTGCAAAGTTGAGATTTCACGCGAATACTATGAAGAAGGATTCTAAGAAAAGATACTAGTCGATAATCTTTAGATAACGGAATGTTATTGATTATGTAAAATTGTTTCACATTTTATATAAGTTTATAATTTTTATAAGAAAATATGTTAGGCTAAAAATTAGATATTTTGTTCTCTAATATTAAATTAATTTCTTGTAGAAAGTTCTACAGAAAAAATGTAAAGATTTATATAATAATTTATAGTAAGATTATAGTATAATAATATAATAGTTTATAGATAGATTTATAGTAAGATTTATAATATTTAGTAATGTTTGCAATAATGTAATCCGTAACTTTCACTCTATTAAATACACTATATTAATATTTTTTTATGTTATCCATCAATTTTCATTTACAATTCTCAATTCGATCAGCAGAATTGATAAAATTACTCTCCTTACGATTGTTTAAAAAAAAAATTAAAATTATTCTTAATAGATTTTGTTTAAAATGTTTGTATCGTTAAATAATTTTTAATAAAATGATATTTAACGAAAGCTTCTTATTTATTTATTAAAATAAATTCTGTATTTTTCTTGATTTTTATATCATAAATTGTATGAAACTTTAATGTAACAGAAAAGTTAAAAAGAAATAAAAATAATTCAAATATCTTTTTTATATTCAAAAATAATTCAATTTCTTTTATATATAATCTTCATAATGCAAATCGGCTTACATAAATCGCTGCGATAACGTGGCTCATGAATAATTATTGATTCGGAATGGCATCAAAATAGATCGAGATTCATCGATCATCTTCTGTTTTGAGATATTTGATCGCCCGACGGTTTGTATTGGAAACTTGATATGCGTGGCCCGTAAAAGTCTCTCCTCTGATCAACCAAGTGATCGAATGCGGCGATTCCTCGAATTAGCGATACATATTTTTGCTGGCCTCTCCTCCAGTTAAGCGCTCTGCGAAACGACTCTCCAGTGCAACTTCTTTACGTCGCGTTCGATATATCGCCTGAAGAAAAGGAAAAGGAAGACGGCGCGACAACGCCGGCTAAATCGCCAGGCGTAAATATCCGCGTTGTAACGGCTCGGCATAAAATCGGCGACTCACGCACTAACGCATCTTGAATATCGCAGCAAATATAGTTACTCATCTACCTTTGTCCCTGTGTGCGTATTCAGATATTCAAACGGTATAATACAGTTACTATATTCGGGAAACGCGCCCGAGAACCGCAGCGATTTCACACAGCACGACGTCACACTTTGCCCTTAATGTTCGAACA